GGGGGGGGGGAGGTTCAAAAATAGGAAAAATTGCGTTACATAATACTTGAACGGCCCCCGAGGGATCTGGGGTTGGCAAAAACTCCGAACTTAAGCGGTTCGGAACGGCTACAAAATGCCTTTTCCTCGGGAGTTCTTAACCTCCCACAACATACATCAAATGCATGCTTCCTCTTTTATAAGGTGCCTATTCCTCACAATTCTCCGAGCAAAACAGAGTGGAAAAGTCTTTTTAATTTTAAACTTACCCATCGACAATCCTCAAGTTCCCAGCAGAGCACCATTAAAGTGAGCGGTAAAATGTTTCGGTGATAGTCCTAGATGTGACCACTTAGCTGATTGTGGCTTCATACTATGATTTCCGGGAGGAAAAATTTCTTGCCAGCTGAAATATCTCTTAGACCTGGGCATCATGACTGCAACTATTCTGGAAAACAATAGTTTAAATGTCATCAATTTGAATGCTCTAAGAAGGCTTCGATTTGGATGAAATTCTGGAGATCATTTTTGTGAGGTGATGGATTTTAGATACTCGGATAATTCATTGTCGCAAAAGTGGGGATTACTTCCCTCGCTACTTAGTAAAAACAAACATGAGTGCTTCTCTCCCCGCTGCTACATAAGTCACGTAGATCGTAGACGAGCGATTTCGAATAACTTTCAACTTTCAACCTCCAATTTTGCTAGAAATTTTTTTCTCATTTTGACTGAAACCCGTGGTTTTTATTCTCTCCCTCTCTCCCCCTCCCCTAGCACGTAGAAACATGCATTTTGTTTGGTTAAGCCTTATTAATTAGAAATGAAGGAATTTCGAGCAAAAGAGGGTCATTCCGTGCAAACTGGTGCCACTTTGAAAAAAAAGATCCCGTCAACACCGTCCCATCCTAGCTGATCCTGACTGCCCCTCTTCTTTATTAGCATACTTCTTCTTTATTTTAGTGATTTTATGCACTTCGCAATATTTTTCCTTTTTGTTTTAATCGGCTGAAAGTCATGTGTAATTCATAACTACAGGAACACATCAGTTTTGAAACATTGACAACAGTTGATTGAAAAATCGGTTTCTCCCTCTGCTATTAGTGTCTATTGTTCACATTGAGCCACGAGTGCTACGAAAGTTCCTTTATTTGAAGGACATTAAAGCGGAGACAAAGAGTTTCAGCAAGAAAAGCAAGTAACTACTTCGCTTTTTGTTTGATGAATGACCGGGACGGTGTAGACAAAACTGATAACTTTGGGGTCATTCCATGCAAACTGGTGCCACTTTGAGAAAGTGACCCCCTCAGAATTTAATGTTTGGCATTGAGAAAGTGACCCCCTCAGAATTAGATGAAATTTGGCATACTTAGTGCACATGCATGCTTAGTAAAAATCCAAAATTTTACGTTGCTTCGACTACCCGTTGGGCTTTTATTAGACACTAAAAGTTCGAGAAAGTTGGCCTCTTTCGAGGGATGCCACCACTTTATTGATGTGTAACTTCGGGACGGTTCATCCAAAATCAACTGTTCTGGTGATCCCGTGGGGTTTCGGCCGGTTCAAAGCGCCTCGCGGAAAATGAATGAGATTTTGCAGCTGCGCCATTTAAATTAAACTGCCCGGTCTCGGTACGGGTGAAACAATTTAAAGAGAAACAGTAAAATTAAATTTTAAAATTGAACTATTCAATTTACCTGAATTAGGGGATAATGGCCAAATTCTCCAGACATAGTTTTAAATCATTCGTTTGATTTTACTGAAGGAAAATGTTGATAATTTCATTGTTCAAATTGATGAACTCGCTTTCCTCCTTTTCAGAAAAGCGGACATGCTCAAAAGTAATTTGGTGCATTTTGACAACTGATAATGCGGCGTCTTCTTTAAGTTTCTTAACGAGGAGATGAAAATTTGATGTGCCGGACACCCGTACGGTCTCGCTGTTGCCAAATCTCATTCAATTTCCTGGAGGCGCTTTGAACCGGCCAAACTCCCACGGAAATTTCGACCGGCTGCAATCCAACGCGACCATTCTGGTGTCGTTGGAAAGCCCCGAGAAAGAGCTTTTTTGACATGTATAACAAAATTGGGCTTGACTCATTTTTAATTTTTTTTCTGGTGCAAAATTTAATGCTTAAAACGATAGAGCTCGAAATCGGACCTTTTGATTTCTTTGAAAATTTTAGATAGATGCGATTTTTATTTTCTTCACTTCAGATAGGTATTCCACGAGGGATAATCTTGCGCTTTACCGTCCCTGAGGTCCCATCTCCCCTCCGTCCCTAATCAAGCCAGCCCCAGATAACCGCTGTTGCAGACCATCAAATTCGGGTCACCTGGCCGGGAATGGAATAGAGCCGGGACCTCCCGATCATAGAGCAAGCGCTACAACCACTACACCACAGGAGGTCGAGATGTTGGTGCCACCTTCGACTACGCGTGTACAAAATTTTAGAGTGGAGACATGGTGGAGTCAAAAGTTGCAGAAGGAAAAGTTTGACGGTGCGAAACCGTGCCGCGGCTTACGCAGTCTCCAGTCCCGAGTTCCTGGAATCGTCCTCGAACTTGGTCCGAGACACGAGCACAATAGATTCGTTATCGGCCCGAGTTAGGGGACGATTCCTGGAGCTCGGGTCTAGAGACTGCGTAAGCTGCGGAACAGTTTCGCACCTTCAAACTTCTGACTCCACCAAATCTTCACTCTGAAATTTTGCACATGCATAGTCGAAGGTGTCATCAACATCTCATCAAATTTTCAAATAAATCAGAAGGTCCAATTTCTATCTCTATTGTTTTGAACATTAAAATTTGCGCCAGAAATAAATTTTGAGTTAAGCCCAATTTCGTTATGCATGTCTAAAAAGCTCTTTCTCAGGGCTTTCTAACGACACCAGGACAGTTGATTTTGGATGAACAATTCCGATGTTACACATCAATAAAATGGGTGGCATCCCTCAAAGGAGGCCAACTTTCGCGAACTTTCAGTATCTAATAAAAACCCAACGGGAGGTCGAATCAACTTAAAATTTTGGATTTTTACTAAGCTATGCATGTGCACTAGGTATGCCAAATTTCATCAAATTCTGAGGGGATCACTTCCTCAAAATGACATCAGTTGGTAATATAAGTGACCCAAAAGTTATCAGCTTTGTCCAAACCGTCCCGGTCATTCATAAAACAAAAAATGAAGAGGTAACTTGCTTTCCTTGCTGAAACATTTTGTCTCCGCTTTCATTTCTTTCAAATAAAGGAACTTTTGTAGCACTCGTGGCTTAATGTGAACAATGGACACTAATAGAAGAGGGAAAAACTGATTTTTCAATCAACTGTTGTCAATGTTTCAAAACTGATGTGTTCCTATGGTTATGAATTGCACAAATGACATTCAGCCTAGGAAGAATAAGTATGCTAATAATGAGGAGGAACATTCAGCATCAACTGGGATGGAAACTACTGAGTGATCTGAACACCAGGATACCCTTGGTTCATGAATTGAAGAATGGGGCTGTTGCATGATCCTGGAATTGCTTACTAAGTGTGCGTATCTAACGTGAAATTTAGCGAGGAACACGATTACGAGCTTAACAAAGCTCGAAACAGCTTTTTTGACTGAAAAAAAGGAGCTTAAAGTTGTCGTGATGAAAGAATGTTTCTCATTGGCTTGAGCCTTATGACGTCATGAAATCTGACAACCCATGGTTTCGACCACCATGAATCCAATGTGCCATGGCTGCTGTGCGATTAAGATAATTGTGTGTTTACGTTGTTTCCGCAAATGGAAAGGATCAGGGCGGTCACTGAGCCTTGTGACGTCACGAAATCTGTTGGCGCAATATTTTTCCGTTTTAAATGGAGTTGAACTTTCGGCAACTTTGGAAGTCTCAGGTGTAAAGAGGTTTCTGTTCACCACAACAAAAAATTCATTTTTAAAATTTTGCAGCAGTACATGCTTGGCTGACAACTGATGAATAAAATAAAAAAATCGAATAACTTACTTTATCAATGAAAAATCTATCGTTTTGGCAACCATAGACTGTCTCCAACTCAAAGTCGGCTGATAATTCGCTGCCACAGAGGTGAAATGCTAAAGGACTTTGTTCAGAGGCAGCAAATTTTCATCTTTTCCGCGGCCGTGTTTTTAAAGTTCAGATGAAACAGCAAAACAATGCTTTTCAAGTTTTCAAGAGCTGACCTCCTAAGAATGTTCACGGGCTGATAGGATACCAATAAGATCTGTGAAATTTGTATTGCAAGCATGAGTTAAACTTACCTAGTTACAAGGTTGGAAGTCCGGATTGAATTTACGGCTACTTCTTCCAGCATTGATGGTTAATCACAAACTTGGTATTTATCACAAAGTGAAGTAAAGTAACGCTGTGAATGTGAGCACTGAAGCACTGATTGATGTTGATGACATAAGTAGATGATAAGTCGTCAACTTTAATGTAAATAACACGCACTTCCGTTTGACCTGATCTACTGAATGGTGAGGATGAATTAAAATTGACCCGCGCAGGGTAACAGAGGTGGAAAAATCAGACGTAACCCAAAGGATAGTCGACAAGGGATTAGTAAAAGACGTAATTAACCGAGTACATATTTACTTATGGGGAGTACTCATCAGATCAGTTGATATAAACATAACCTCACTTTCTTCTTTTACACACAACACAGAGATAGGAGATAGAAGAGATAGCAGCATAGAGTAAGAGTAGTTAGAGGTAAACTCTCCCCTATAGAACCCCTAAGAACTATACCATCATTGCAGCCTGATTAGAGCTATTTTTGAAAGTTGATTTCTTACTTACGGAAAAAAATCAGCGATTCTCGAAAAATTTGAAAAAAGAAGAAGAAAAAAAAAATAGGAATAGTTGGTTAATAAATTAGGTATCGCTCGGCATATATAAGAGCTCCGCTGAGTGGCGGAAAATTTCAAGGGAGATATTGTGGCAATTTCACGTAAATTTACGAAACTTATGCGAATGAATGAGGCTGCTTATGAACCAACAAAAAAAAATGAAAATTCAATTTTGCATTTTTTATGAGATAAAATTCGTTGGAAAAAAAGCATTGTTAGTTAAACTTGCAAATCGTCGGCGTGATTTGTTACAGGCTGCGGAACCAACCCGTAAAAAGTGAGTAAAAATGCATGTGAATATCCACCGAAAAAATTAAATTGCTGATTTAACAGTTTTACAAACTGTCCGACTTGTTCCAAATGAGGAGCTTGGATGACAAGGCGCATAAATGCAGTTTTTGAAAAAATTAAGATATTAATGATATTAAGTAAAACTAGTCCTAATGCATATTCTGTGGAAAATTCGTTCCAAATTTCCAATTTTAAAGCATCAAAGAGTCAGTTTGAGCTTTCTTTCCGCCATATGGATCCATGTAATTTCGAAACTTTAAACACGCATTTCTCGGAATAGCATAAACTGCACTAGCTTATGCCCCTCAATTTTTTTTTTTTTTTTTTTTT